ACCTAGCATGAGAAATGTAACGATGATCCCGGCCAAACAGACCACCAGCACCGCGAAGAACGCCCGCTTGATCCGCCGCATGGCCATGCCGCTGTGCCCGGGACCTCGTCGGCGGCTAGTCGGTGTCGCCCCGAATCGGCGCGGCGCTGGTGAAGTCCTCCCCGTCCCGGCGCTTCTCGCTCCGAGCGCCCTCCTGGTCCGCTCCGGTCCAACCACGATGAAGAGCTCGTCGGGAACTGGGCGTGGACATACGCGTGCGAGCGGTCTCCTGGGCTTTGCTTACTACTACTACCCGGTACGATCTATTCAGCAGGACTTCAGTTTAGGCGCCAAAGACAAAGGCCAGGGGCAAGAAAAGTCGTCCTCTCCTGACCGAAGCACACGCAGATGTAGGTCGTCTGGCGCTGCGCGGAGAGATTGCATCAAGCGAACATATGGTTGGGACGGCAACGGGGCGATTCTTTAATCACCGGGAGGTACCGCGACTTCCCCGCTTCGTGTGAAAGAGCCATCCATTATTTATCCCATCGGAGGGTGGGAGCAGGGCGTTCGTGCTGACACAAAATACCACCGGAAACAAGGTTCACAGAAGCCGATAACGGGTCTGTACGCTGTACGCGGATGAGTCCTTACCTTACACATTCAATTTTTCATGAGAGGAAAAGACCGTAGCTGTTAGGAAACGAGACTAAATCATACATTTCAAAGACGGCCAGGGGATATTGGGAGTTTGTTCCTCTGGCAACATATTTGGTCCGACTAATATACGGGTAGTCTTGTATGAAATAGTACATCAATATTTACTGACGTACTATCGTAATGCCTGGTAGCGTTTTAAGTACAGATGGGACCATTGGGAACTATATTTTTATATAAATATTCACTTTTCTCATTTGTACACCCATTCTGTATCACAAATCTTTATCACTGTAAAGTTCTACTATTCGGGACAATTACATGTTGAGTCATAGTAAAACAGATACCAGGTTATTATTCAATTTCCTTTCTATGAATACACAATTTGAGTGTCTCTTAAGTATTCATACTTGACATTCAGCCTCCCACCGTCAGGGTAGACAAAATCAGTGAAGGAGGAAACATGTTTAAACTTTAATTACCTGAACGTGAAATTGGAAACTATGTCTTGTTTTTTTCGTAATGGTCGTCATTGTGACGTAATATGATACTCATATATTCGTCTAAATTCAACGTCCAAAGTACATGTATAGAACTGCTCCTCTCCATAAAATGATGAGATATTCTGAGCATCTGTTTTTGTAGGAAGATAAATACCCAGTGACTTAATACCCATCATATTTCACACAGCGAATCCATACGTGTAGTAATTACGAAAGCATCTACTTGTTTTGCCGTAGTGTACCATATATTGTACACTTGCAACATAGAGACCAATGAGAACAAACGTTGGTTATATGTTGTCTGTATTTAGTCCTTTAAGTCTATATATCCATCCGGCACAGGATGGCCGTAGTTTGACTCATGTCCTCAATCCATCCCGGGATTTGTGTGACGTCAGCCGGTCCCGGTTTAATCCCGGCGTGTCCCCCTGTTGCGCGCCCGGCGCTGTCCTTGGTGC